ATAGTCAAGTAGGCCATAGCAGAGATCTTTCAGGAGTTTTTGCTATGGCGTAAGTATGCGGTGTTTACAGACAACAATCTGCTAGGGTAAGTTCCCTCTGTCAACCTGGGGCCATGGAACATCGATGGGCTGCCCAACTCACTGCATTTGATTTTGAGATCAAGCTTAGATGTAACAAGAATACAGATGTGCTTTCCCAGTAGTATAAGTCTCCAGCTTGGCAGAACATGCCCTCCTGGACACTATGGCCCCAGTGACTCTTCAGCAAGCTTCACACCCAGATTCAGTGCTCCCCATACCTCAGACTGTGGTGTATATTCTTCCATACCACTCCCTCGCTGACCTTTTTTCCTTACAGTAGACTGTTCCCCTCCTGAAGAATTTGTTGAAGATGCAGATTTGACCTACCCCAGATGAGAGGCGGCAGGTCCCTGAACCAGTTATGGCATTGCAGCATCAATGGGCATGTCTGATGGAGAGAGATGGGGTGTCATACTACCAAGTCTCCTGCCCAGCTGGGGGCGAGGAGAGTCTCCAGCTCATTTTGCCTGGAGTCCTTAAAAGGGAGATGCTGACACAATTCCATTGGGAATATAGCCACTGAGGTATTGAGCACACCATGGAGCTAGTACAATGGTGCAGTTACTGGCCAGCGATGTCTTCAGACATGAAACAGTGGTGCCAAGAGTGTGAATGTTGTCAATTTGTAAAAGATTTGGTGCCAGTGCCACATAGTTTTATGGGCCACTTGTTTGCATCTAGGCCACATGAGATTTGAGCTGTAGACTTTACATTGTTGGGACCATCTCAGAACAGGTTCAAGAATGTTCTCATAATGATGGATACATTTAGAAATCACTGTGGCTGTCCCTACTTGGGACCAGCAGGTTTCTATTGTAGCCTAGGTCCTTTTGACTGAATAGTTCTATGAGTTTGCAGTTCTGAGTCACATTCACTCAGATCAGGGTAGGAGTCTTGAGAGTTCTTTAATTCATCAGCTCTGTTGCTTGTATGGGGTCACAAGGTCTCATTCTACCCAATTCCAATCTACGGACAATAGACCAATTTATTAGAACTCTCCACAACTTTCCACATCACATAACTGGGATGGGTCCTCCAGTCTCCCACAGGTGCTATTCCATTATAATTGCACACCTCATCAGGGTACCATTCTTCTTGATTTTCGCTCAGGAGCCTAGGCTTCCCATCGATTTCCTTCTGGGTCAGGTCCAGCACCCTGCACTAAGGGAAGTAGAGGATTTGGTGGTCAAGCACCAGACTAAGCTCAAGGTGGCTTTTGAGGGTGCCCATGATCAGTTGTTGACTGCTGCTGGTCACCTAAAGGAACAGGATCATCACCAGGGTTGTGATGTGCCTTGCAGGTGAGCCAGTTGGTTTACCTTCGGGACTAAAGTCCGGTTGCACTGTCGGTGGGTTCTGTATATTGGTGTTTGCAGAAGACCCAAAGACTAGCTTCGCTTCAATTCCCTGGCCCACAGCGGTCAGCAGTTCATCATTATTTGAGTCTTGGAGAACATGAACAAGTAAAACAGTAAAAACAGCAACATGGTAAGTAATGTGTACCCACTCACCATTCAGATGATCTGCTCTTTTCCCTTAAGGGTATAGGCCACAGGCCCTTCATGATTGTCTCTGAAAACAACCATTGGTGTACTTAATTGTGTGTGCATCATCATCTGAAACTGAGGATATAAACACATTTAGTCTTTGTATCATTTAAACAGTGAAACCATCGAAAGAACTATTTATAAACAAAAACTTACCACTATGACAGTCTGATGCTCCACCATTGTTACTCATAATAATCTGTTATTCGCTCGACAACATAGAAAACTTAACTGCAGTACGCTTTCACAGTAGCACTGTCTAGCCTAAAAGTTCTTAATTATGGCAAAATATCTTACCTCAAGAGTATGCAGAGAATCAGAGAATGGCATTTCAGAGTGTTAAGTTTATGCCGGCAATCATAATGGGCGATGTGATTCTTTCACACCTTAAGGTATCTGATATTTTAACTCTGCCCCGTGCCCTATTTAATAAGGAGAAATATGGCACACTTGGTGGGAGTTTGCGACAACTGTTTTTTCCACTTACCGTGCTTTGTAAACGATTTGTTTGTATTTGTGGTGTTGTTGTCTTTTGCAGAACACTGCACCTGGAGTTTGTGAATTGGAGTGCTGCAGTGTTCAGGGTGTGGGGAAACTCTACCTCTGCTTGTTGTCTGTCATATTAGTGGGACAGAGATCATTCACTTGTTATGTAATGTTATGTAATGCATCTAGATAACTGGCAGACACTGTGAGCGTGAGCGTTCCCACCGTCCAGCTTGAGGACAGCCTCTCCTTCTAACTCTGTCCTGTCATTTCAAACATGTGTGACAGGACATTAGAGCTAACTCTGACTAAACTTTGTTTTACAAAGTTAAACTGCTTAAATTCTCCTTTAAAACTTGATGACTACATTTTTATACTGCATTAAAATAGCATATTTATTATCATTAACCAATATGGCTAAAGTTTTTTATTCCTTAACACATTAGCTCTTGATGCTGCTGTATGACACCCATTATTTTAAATGAGAAGTTTGACAAGTGCGGAGCAACAAGTGTTTAAATTCATCCTGCCAAAATTTTTTCTTCCTTAAAATGACAGGATGCATGAGACACATGTGAGTTAAAGGGTATGAATTCATCCTGTTAAAGTTTTTCTTCCTTAAAACTTATTTAAAATAGAACAATAACAAATATGGATAAAGTAGTTTATTCCTTAAAAGATAATGAAACTATTTGCAACTAGTGGTTGCTACAAGGACGGTTGGGGCTGCATAAGTTTGTTCTCATGAACAAAAACAAAAAAGTATTTGCACCTGGCATAATCCACCTTAAAACTATAAAAACTGTATAATGGGATTTGGGGGGACCTGTCAATCATTGTTCTCCAGGAACAATATCTGGCCCTTGAAAAAATCCTCCTGCTAGTGTACCCAGTAAATTTTACTAATAATCAAACACTTGCTGTCAAAATCCTTAATATCTGAGGTGGGACTGATATCTTTCCATGCATCATCTATGTATCTGACATAGGCAAACATTTTTGCTGCAAGACTAATTTGTTATCTTACCTGTTATCCAAATTCACAGAACAATTTAACCCAAATGGCAGGAAATGTGCGAGTTCAGTGCCACAAAATCTTTTGGTGACGTTAATGCTCCCTATTCTCGCACGCTTTTTAAAAGAGAGTCATAACCGAAAGCCTGTTTTGCATTTAAAGATAAGATCTTATATGGTAAAATAATTTAAATCCCCACTGTATATAGTGCTCTGTGAATGTGCGCTTGTTCATGCACTGAAAACTTATGGGTTTATGCAAAGGGGAGCATAGATGTGAGCAGATTATATTGTACTTCGAATACTGTTAATCCGTATAGGCTGCACTATAATGTTGCAGTTAACACAATCCTTGTGGGGCAGGATAAATGCTCCTCATTTTTGAGATGGCCTTGGCATGTCTGTAGATCCTTGAGCAAGGCCCTTAATCCCCAGCTCCCTGGTTGGCCTAGTTCACTTCTAAGCTTGCTGTCATGCATCACTATGGAGAGTAAAGAGAATTTCCCCACAGGGATCAATAAAGTATAACTTGTTCATTTCATATAATTTCAGATAAAACAAAATGGCAATAAAGGCTTAAAAGGTATGGGAGATCCCTTGAGTTACAGTTCTCAGGGTAGATGTCAGTCATCTAAAAATGCCCCTAAACACACTGACAAATGATCCACAAAGTGGCTTAGATGTAAGAAAAGTAATGTTTTGGAATGCTTAAGGGCAATCCTGGTCCCAAATCGATTGAGATTTTGTGACATGAACTGAAGAAAGCCATTCATGGAAGACATTCCTGAAATATAAATATAATTAAACTTTTTTTTTTTTTTACAGGGGAATGGTCTAATGATGTGACTTTTTTTTTAAAACATCAGACCACATTTTATGACTAAATTATGCAAAACTGCAGGAAAATCCAAGGGGTTCCAGCATGAATGCAACTGTGTGACAGCTGGCAACTGTGTGACACTCTTTGTATTGGCGCTATAGTCATCTAGTTGGCAAAGTTAATCAGTTTGCACAGTCAGTTGAAAGATTAGAAGACATTTCCTACAATGTTACTGTAACCCCAACACCCTCAGCGTGGGAATAGGGTACAGTAGGTGATAGTCAATATCGATAGCTTGGCAAGAGCCAGTAGACAGGAGCAATGGATGATGGTATGTCTGCATAAACTATAGACTTTTTATCAGACGGCTTCTTGTATTTGGATATGTCCACCATACAAAAGTAGCAGTTATCCGAATGATCGGTTGACTCTCGTCAAATCGTAGGAATGTCAAATGGCATGGACTTTCTGCTTCCTCTGATCCATCCTTCTAATGTTAATCGGCAGCAATCACATATGACATGGGGTGCCCAGGACTTGTCTTGATCACCAATGGGCATACCAAAATATGTTTCATATGGGGCACAGTATTTTCTTCAAAAGCAAATAATGTCTTTAACTTGCTTTGGCCCAATGTAAAATCCACAAACATAACAAAAAGAATCAGGAGATAAATTACATAATCTGTGAGCCATTGTTAATTTTAATTACCTACAACAAAATCACAACAGATTTATATTACAGGTTAGATTTCACAAGGGAGGCAGTGTGGCACTCTCGAAAATATACCATGCATGCGTGTATTAAACACAAAAAATGAAATTTCAAACTACAAGCAAACCATTGATGCAAATAAAAAAGGCTATCACTGACTTCAACACCTCAAAATTGTGTAAAAACAGTTAAAAATAGCAGCCAAACAATTTTTTTGTTACATTGTGTAATTATCGCTTCCACAACAAAACAGTAGTATGTGGCATGCTCCATTAACTGATTTTAATGAAAATAAGGATACACTGAATTTATACAGATTGCTAACTTCTGGGCATCACAATATGCCTCTTATTTGGACAGAGAAGGAAAAAAGAAGAAGCAATTGATTCGACTGGGAAAAGGCAGGTTTAGAGACCTTCTTGTGTTGTGGGCATTGACCCTCTGGATCCCTTCTCCTGCTTAAGTGTGGTGTGGGATTCAATAGAATTATAAAGAACATACAATGAATAGAGGAAAAGGAGAATATAGCTTAAAGCAGGGCATGATGAAAGGGGGGGGGGTTGATTCTAGAAAATGCAGTTAACTGAAACGAGAACTGACTGGCACCGGCAGGGCAAGGTTACCTAATCGGGGCCGATAGAGGGAGCGACAGAGAATGTCAGCGGCCTTTACGTATCTGTAGCCTTCCACAAGGACAAGTACTAACCGACTAACTAGAGCAAATGTCAAACATGTGGTTGTCACACAGATGGAAGGTACCGAGAGAGGGGGGGGGAGATGCCCAAAGGGCTTTAAAAGGGATACAGCTGATACATATGGCAGAGCTTCCTCCTGTACATGCTGAATGTGTGTCAGATGGCCGCTCCCTGATTATAATCAGTCAGGAGAATAAACCGGTGATTTGCAACTTCTCCCCGTGTCAGCGGTGAATCTCTTCTCATCCACAGACCCGGTGGAGATGGCGTACTCCAACAGTGGGAAATTCCAGTTTATCCTCCTGAGACCCAAGGAAAAAAGTGTCCTTCAATTGTAGGTTATTTGTCTTTGGAGGAAATAAGACATCTTACAATTCAATTTTTTCAAATTAATTTTTATTTTTAATTTCGCAGCATGTCCTCTTCAGTGCACAACAGGAATAAATATGTTTCCTAACATCAGTGAAAAACTAAATGCAAAATACAATGTCCACTACAATGGACATAAATGAATAGGTCGGGTCTCGGGAGGTTATTATGGTATATCCATATTCCCCATTCTATGATTGCTCTATGTGGGATGGTGAAAACAATTACGTGATGTGGGGTGGGAGAAAGCAACAAGAAAAACAAAAGACAGGCATTTTGGTACCAGCAGAAAGATACAATATAATTAAAGTGAATGGATGGTGGATCATATAATGGTGTGAGGGATCCAGGCGGGTTTGGAGCGTGGGCGTGGCATCATTCAGGCGAGGAACAGAGGTGGATGACCCACTTGCGGCTCACGGGACAGAAGGGGTTTATTACCGAAAACAAAAATCACAGGGAACACTACAAAAATAAAGGACCACGAGGGGTCAAAAGTAAATGGGGGAATAAACAAAGACGGCACGCAGGACATACATCTAACATCAAACAACAATGAACCACTCAGGAACTGAACAGAGGAAGGGACTTAAATACCGAAACTAAACTGGGAAACAAGATTAACACAGGACAGGTGAGACTAATTAACAAAGACTGGGA